AAATTTTGAAGAGAAAATCCTTGCAATTATTGAATGAAACATGCTGGAAATTTGGAACTGGTGCAGATCCAAAGGAAAGCATTGTCTTGTCACAGATTGATCAATTAGATTTCAGCATACTTAGATGGCACAGAGTCTTCTCTCTTAAATATTGAAAGTTCGAGACCTTCACGCTGTTCTAGTCAAAAGGTTTTTAAAAACATTCGAATCAATTGTTTTTTATAAAAATCATATTAATACTATTTATTAGAAATGACACAGAGTTCTAGACACTTATCATAAGAAAATGACAATTGTTGATGATATTACTATAGGCCAGTGCTTGTACACTTATCTATCAAAATAGATTTACTACAAAAATCAATTACCGGTTAGAAATTGTAAACATATTTGTTTTGGTGCATCAGCTTTCGGATATTTTTCAATAAGACTTTCATATAAATTTGATTTTTCATTATTATTTGTTAAATTTAAACATTTTTCTAACATAAAATAATATTTTTTATTTTCTGGATTACGTTCAATTAAATCTTTTAAAATAGTTTCAGCGCGATCAAATGAAGATAAACGCATATATAAATCATATTTAATCTCAGCTAATACTAATTTATTATAAATATCTTTTTCATGTGTTTGTATATGACGTAAAGCATCATCATATTGTTCAGCTTCACGTAAAACAAGATTTTGATATAATAAAAATTCTGAATGTTCATTATCATAGGGTTTATCTGGTGATGGTGCTGGACGATCTTGTTGTGTTTTACGAAATTCTTCTAATACACTTTGTGCCATATCATAATCACCTAATAAATGATAAGACATAGCAAAACCAATCCATGATTGACGTTGACCAGGTTTTAAATTAAATAATTGATGTCGTGTTTCCTTCAAATAATTTATTAATTAATATCATATTGTTAATAATTTTTAACTCTTACTTTATAACCATCAAGATCACGCATTTGAATTTGTAATAATGATAAATCACGAAGAATTGTTAAACTATCCTATGAAATTTAACAAACAATATAATTAGTTATACAAACACTATATATATAGATAAATACAGGTTAATTCAATTCAAACAAGCATACTCGTAAACAATTCTATACTTCATTCTAGGTAATTTCGATTATTCTTCGTAATGTTAATTAGCATAAACAATCCAAAGAATGTCTTGTATTTATCTATATTACTCAAATATATGAGATTTGATCAATTTTATGAAAGTAGAAGGAAAACAAACGTATGACAATATTACAGAGTCGAATAAACATATTGTATAATCGATATAATAATCACGGCATTACATCATATGATCTTTTCAACAGTTTTTCTTTTATTGTTGCATAAAAAAAAGGTTATAATTATACACAAAGAACATTATTGAAGGTTAATAGACTAACACAGGGTAACCCAAAAGTCACTTTACCGAAAAACACCTAATTTTTTTAATCAATGACAGAGGCACAGGCTCAAACTTTATATCCAGAAGGATATGCCTAGAGAGACTCTTTATCAAGCATCATTAATAGCCCTAACAAAAAAATTTTTTATTTGTTCAGAGATAGGAAAAAAAATAATGTACTATGACGAAGAACCAGTTTAATTAAGATAAAATGCAAATAATTAAACGAACATATCTAACAGTTACACGATGCTGCTGATCATACTTATGTAACATCTGTCTACCGTTATTTTGTATTTTCTCGATCTACTCTATTCATATCTGTTTCTCTTTATCTGCAAATACATAAGGCCTCAATCAGGGTTACATGCTGAATGTATAACTAAAAAAAACCAGAGGAACAAACATGAACAAGGTAGATCGAGAAAACACAAAACAAAGATAGACAGATGTTGCACAAATATGAACAGCAACATCATGTAGACTATCCATGTTGACTATAATAGAGAAAAATATCTATGATTCAAGAACGCTTGACAGTCAGATATTCGTTTGATTATTTGCATTTTATCTTGATAAACTGATTCTTCTTCATAATATATTGTTTTTTTCTTATCTATAAAAAACTAAATTGTTTTTTGGTTAAGGCTGCTTAACAAAGAGTCTCTCTAGGTATGTCTTTATGGATATAAAACTTGAATATGCTTCTATCATTGATTAAAAAAAAATTAGGTATTTTGCTTGAGTCGTAAAGGAGATATTCATTTTTTTTTCGGTAAAGTGACTTTTAAGTCATCCTGCATTTCAAAATGTTTTTGCTTGTCTTTCATTCGTTCTTTTTCAATAGTAGATATTCAGAAAGTCCTAATTTTCAGGAATACTGTAGGAATTTTATTTCCTTCAAATAATTTTCTCTAATTAAAACATTACGAAACAAATCGAAATTAAACTTGTATGAACAATATTTGAAACCATTGTTGACAAGAAAAATAATTATCTCACCTCGCCTACCTTTTCACATTGTAATGCTTTTTTATATGCTTTTATTGCTTCATCATATTTACGATCAGATCTTTGATATAGACCGTAAACATGCCAAACAACATGACTTGACATATTATTTTTAATACCATTACGAATACTTTCTAAAGCTTCTTCTTTTTTACCCATTGAATTAAGAATTAAACCTTTCATAGCCAATGTTTCTAGAGAATAACCAATGTTAAATTTAAATTCTCTTTAAAAAAAACAAAAAAAAGATCAATGATACATACCACCATGATTTGGAAATTTTTTTAAAATTTCTCGAGCAGCTGTTAAACCTTTTTTATATTGTTTTTGTTCATAGAAACGCTATAGATATAATATAGATATTGTAGTAATTTCATAGTAAAGTTTCTTTTTTTTTTAACATACCACCAATTTTTTGAATAAACCATTTTCTCGTGAAGGTAATTGTTGACTGGGAGATTGATTTGGTGGAGGCATAATTTTCTAAGCTATAAAAAGGAAATAAATGATGGAAATTTAATTTTCATTTAATATAATTATATACCGTTTGATATCTTTAAATTTTAATTAGGAACAAATAAATAGGAATTTAAAGAAAAAAGAAAAGATGAAATACTAAAATGAAAGAACAAGTAAATAAATAAACAACGAGTCTATAAGAAAAAGAAAAGGAGGCCGACATTGGAACATCCAAGTACATCCAATATTTATTAGAAATAGATATTCAAATAATTTAAGTGGTTAACTAGAAACCATTGATAGATCATCATGAGAATAATAAATTATCAATTAGTGCCATCTATATTTTATTTTAATAGTCACGTATTAGTACAATAATTTTTCCACTTATATTCATACATTATGAATAATGTTCTTTTGAACTGAACTAAATATTGAAATCATTTTTCATAATAAGAATTTAATTCGAAGGATCGTATACGTAGAGTAAACATCGATTTGATAGAAATATTTAAAACGACTAATGAAGTAATGTAAAAACTAAAAATTAATATGATTATTTCAAATATGAATATTAGTGATTGAAAAAATTTCTTTGTAGAACCATTTGTCTAATCTTGTTATTTCAAATATTGAACTACTTTGCCTATCGAAAGCAATTCCAATGGGATATCCTATTGTGAAATTGTTGATCATTAATTTTATTATAGCTGTTATCAAGAATATCTAAAGCGTCCACAGAATAGAAGGTCATCCTATCTAAGTGAGTGCAAGATAGCAATATAAATCATCGCACAGATTAGTCTCTCATTTGTCATTGTTTTTTTCTTGTCACTTCTTTGGTGTGTCTGATTTTATTTTTTCTATATGTTTTTCTAGTAATGAACAATCGAGTTTGTTTCGTGAGCCGATAAATGTGTGCGTATGAACATTAATGATAGACAACTATTTTGCTTTCTTCTGTTGTGAAATTATAATACAATCTAGAAATGAAAGGATGTAAATTTTTATTAAACTGGCAGATCAATATGAGATGAGTACGATGACATCCATTATTGAAACATTCATAAAAATCTTTTTTTGAAGGTAATTGAAAAAATGTCTTGCATTTCTGAACTATACAGTCAACTTTTAGGATGACGTTACCTGACAAAACCACATATATATACCTTACAGAATTTTTTTCTGGAATCAATATATTACAATAAATGAGATTAGATGTATCTATATTAAGATTCACAAGATGCTGATGATAGAGACACATCTGAATAAGAAAAGTAGTGTAATAAACTCATCACACAGATTATTAAATAACAAGAAACTGTAAAAGTATAAAAGCCAACTTTTCATCCGTCGATAACTATCATAGCTCATATTAAAGTTCTCTGACAGCTTAAAGACTTCAATTTATTGAATCTTGTACACATCTATTCTTGTCTGCGAATCAAATCATAATTACAATATATAAGAAACTAGACTATCATTACAAGTTCACCTTCAAACTTTTGACTAGGGAAAAAAATTCGATTCTAATCGATAATATGAGTCAGTGAACATTGATGTTTGACAATGTGCAATCGGAATATTTTATTCATTGATAAAATATCTTCATACATGTCATACACATTAAAATTTGTTAACAGCTATTCCGAGATAAAATGAATTGTAGAAAATAATTGAAGTTTTTCCGGTTATGATTAAACCATTGGTAAAATTCCGTTTTCACGTTTAATATTAAGTTTGAAGATTTTCAAGTTTTCTGTCACCTTAGGTTTTTATTTAGAGGTCAAGTCTTTCCACGTAAACGAATAATAGAGAATATTTTCGGTTAAGAGATTTGAACAAATATGTTTATTTACTGGATTTTTCAATTTCTATTAGAAATTTTCAAAAACATGTCGAAAACACAATACCAAATAGACAGGATTCGTTAAAAATTGACCACAATTCATCAATAAGATACATATTTTATATATTTAAGAGGTGTAAATTGTTGTTGTTTACACTTAAACGTTCATACAGACGCCAATGCATCCAAAGAGAATCTATTGAATACTTTTCAACAGCTCTAACAGCGTTTTAAAAACGATCGTTTTTATGAAAGTTCCATTTTAAAGATATGGATAGTATGTTTATATCTAAAAGTGACTATAAAAGAGCTTCTCAATGTTTCTTCAAAGCATTTGATCTATTTTGGGAAGTCTTATCAGAAAATAATGAATATTTAGTTCTGAATCTAAAAAATATAGGTGGAATATATGAGCAGACAATAGATTAGGGTGTGGGCGTGAATGAAGAAAAGATTCATATCCACATACTTATGTGCGATTTTTCATATTAATTAATTCTTTGAAAAAAATAAACAAAATTTCATCATTGTTTGTCAAAATTAAGCCATTTTTGTATTCAATGAACTTATTTAAGTGTTTTGATTTTTTATGAATAGATAGACGAAAAATCTGAAAACGTAAATTTTGTTATACATTTTTGTGAGCTCTATCTAGCGATCTATAAATCATAGAAAAAAAAATGCTTAAATTTTGAATTGGCCGTACCGTATTTCCAATCCCATTCGGCCGCTCGTATACTTTCACAACACTATGAAATCGTATATGCCTTAATGGTGCTTGTACCCAAACAAGATTAGATCATATTTTTTTTTTTCGTGAACTGATTCATCGTCGCACTACTTGCTACGTAGATGCTCTTTGGATTGTCGCTCAATTCTGTTCTCTTTGCTATGAATCATACAGTCGTATTCTTCGTTCTTTTCTTCATATTGACTCATAACCTTTAGACGGCACGTAGTGGGTATTTAAGCGAGTAACAACAAGAATAACAACCATTTTATGGTATACAATGCTCCGAATCAAGCAAGAGTCTTCTTTTTCTGCTCAACAGTCAGAGCAACAATACGTACCGTTGAAAAAAGTATGTGTCAAAGCCTACATTAAATCGTTTGCTGCCGATGTAACTTTGAAACAAATTTTTCGCAACGATGAGACAAACCCAATTGAAGCCGTCTACTGTTTCCCAATAGAGGAACAAGCAGCAATTTACTCATTTGTTGCTCGAATTGATGATCGAGAAATTGTTGCACAGCTGAAAGAAAAAAAGAAAGCACAACAGGAATACAGTGATGCTCTTCAACAAGGTCATGGTGCATATCTACTCGAACAAGATGAAAAATCGCAAGATAATTTTATTATCAATGTTGGTGCACTACCACCCGGTAAAGAATGTCACATTGATATATCGTACGTCTCCGAACTGGATTTGGTTCAAAATGGAAGCCAAATTCGCTTTGTTATTCCAACAACTATCGCACCTCGCTACAATCCAGACAAAGGTGGTATTAGTTCACCGGCTGGTACTACGTCAAAATACGTTCAAACAGTTCCATACACAATTGAATTTCACTGTCAAGTAGAGAAAAACAACGTCTCTCGAATCAGCTCGACGTCTCATCCGATTCAGGTTGGAGTTGGTCAAGAGAATGTCTATGTCGTCGAATTCTCTCAACAAAACACTCATCTCGATCGAGATATCTTAGTAGATATAGAGTTAGTTGGCAATCGTTCGAATACCATTGCTGCAGTAGAACCTGGCGCCATTATGGCTTCATTTATACCAACCGAAGCAGATTGCCAACGTGTAATGAACAATGTAGAGACGAACAATGAATTTATATTTGTTGTTGACTGTAGTGGATCGATGGAAGATGAGAATAAGATCGGATTGGCACGAGAAGCCATGTTACTCTTTCTCAAGAGTCTGCCAGTGGATTGTCATTTCAATATCATACGATTCGGATCCAATCATGAAGCATTATTCAAAGAGATCACTGCTATTTACAATGAACAGAATGCTAAAAAAGCTGAACAACTAATCAATCAGTTACGAGCTGATTTGGGCGGCACTGAATTAGTAAGTTTCAGCGATTGTATCGTTGAAAACTGACCGTATGTTTCTATTCTAGTTAGGTCCACTTCAATGGTTAGAACAACACCCTCCAGGACAAGGTCGTGCGCGACAAATATTTTTGTTGACTGACGGAGAAATTTCAAACGTCAATGAAGTACTCGATCTGTGCCGTTCAATGGCTACTTCCACACGAATCTTTTCATTTGGTTTGGGTCATTCACCAAGTCGTTCGCTGGTCAAAGGCCTTGCTAGAGCAACAAACGGTCGTTTTGTTTTTATTCCACCTAACAGTAGTGTCGACGTTCACGTTGGTGAACAACTACAAAAAGCTCTCCAATCTTGCATAACGAATATAGAAGTGAAATGGAATCTGGGTACTGACGTTATGAGTGCTCCTACAAAAATGCCACCAGTCTATGTTAATGATCGTCTAATTGTCTATGCACTTGCTAGTGATCCAATGTTTGTCTTCGATCATAATTCCAGTATCGAATTACTTAATGATAAAAGCCAATTGGGCAGGGCAAATATCGATACAATACCGAATGTTAGTGCTAATGGAACCATTGCTCGACTCGCTGCCAAAGCACTCATTCTCGAATTACAACATTCAAAACTACCCTCATCGGTCAAGCAAAACATTTCGGGTTCGCTACAAAGTCGATTCCAGAAAGATTATCCATCGCCGACGCCAGCTACAACAAGCGAAGAGAAGGAAATCATAAAGAAACGCATCATTGACCTTTCACTTAAGTATCAAATTTTAAGTCCTCACACTGCTTTCGTCGGTGTTGAAAAACGCGTGAATGCTAGTAATAATGATATGGTTTTACGCGAAGTACCAATTCAAATATCGGCTGATGATGAACACTTACAGGTACCCCATTTTATGAATTTTTCTGCAGGTATGATGCCACGTACTGCGATGGCATATCGTTCAATGGCACCACCAATGTCGATGGATTCAATGCAGCTATTTGACCAAACCATGGACATGTGTTTTTACGATTCATCATCAATGCTTCAATCAGAATCTTGTTTATATGATATGGAGAATGAAGACATGTCGCCGACCGCCATGACAGAGTCTAACGATTTAATGTCGTTCACTGACAATGCTAACTATGATACAATCTATTCACATCAGCAGTCTTTGATTGGCCAAGAAAAAGATGAGGCATGGCCTACTGGAGATCAAAATATTGTTCGCTACTTGATCAACAAGCAAAAATTTGATGGTTTATGGGATTTAGATGCAAAAAGTGTAGAACAATTGACTGGAAAGCCACTGACAAGTTTTCCATCATTCAACAATCAGCAAGTTCTCATTTCAGCAATTGTCGTTGTCGCACTTGAAACGCGTTTCGCCACAATGTCGACAATGTGGCATGGTGTAGTGCAAAAAGCTCGCAAACGCCTTCTCGATTTACTCGGCAAAGATGCTAAACAACTTCAATCGTTATTGGAGAACATTCGTCAGCAATTTTAAGCATTATTTGTCGTCGATTAAATATGAATATTTCGCTTGCTTCTATCATTTATCTATATAGTGCCAAAAAACAAATAAAAATTTTAGTTCATGTCATTTGAATAGAGAATGAGCATCGTTGTGGATTACAATCTAAAGAGTGTCACAGAAGTACGGAAATGATTTCAAAAGTTTTTGCTCTTGCATTCAATATACCAAACTCTTTGAAAGTTTGATAGCTAATTGCATCGATTTAGTACTGAGTAATTACAAAGCTTGAGTTCTATAGCTTTTATTCGGAATGAGAATTTGTAAAAACATTATCAACTACTATTCTTTTAATTTTCTCTATCATTTTGGCATTTGTTTCTAAAACAGTATAGTTTTTTCGAAATAAAAGGACATATAGATACAGCGAAAACTATTCGTATGATTTTGTTTTAATCATATCTTAAGAACAAAACGATATTTTCAGAAATGGAAAGTGTCAAAACAATCATCATGACACATTATCTTTTCTGTAAATACCAAAGCAATTGCCTTACAAACGTTGGAGATACAGCCTCATTACTGGTAATGGTGACATTTTTTTTGGCAAAAAATACTCATACAATAAATAAAATCTATTTTATTTACTTTTGAATTTTCGGTTGAACTTAATAATAACATCATGGATAGAGGCAAATGCAAGGGACATGCCAGTAAAACTATTCTTTGAAAAAAAGTCCAAAGAATTCTTATTACGCACATTTTTGAATTTAGTTCGCACAGCCATAGTCAACATTTTACGACATGCAATACTAGCTTTTTTGAACTTATGTTCGAAAGTAACAGAGAAAATTTCATCGTATCTAGTGATTTTAATATAAATGAACGTGCTTCAGGTTGCTCTACTCAATGATAAATATCCGAGCTGGATACATATGTACGATTTAGATTTATTTAAAAAGTTGTGGCAAGCATTTTGAAAAACCCGATAATGCACGTCTTGACATGTTGATTGTGGCTGTGTGAACGGAATTCCAAAATGTTTGTAATAATGATTCTTTGAGCTTTTTTCAAACTATAGTTTTACTGGCATGTCGCTTGCATTTTTCTCTATCCATGATGTTATTATTAAGTTCAACCGAAAATTCAGAAGTAAATAAAAATAGCTTTATTTATCGTATGAGTATTTTTTTGCCAAACAAAATGTCACCATTGCCAGTAATGAGACTGTATCTCCAAGATTTATAAGTCAACTGCTTTGATATTTGAGAAAAGATAATATGAATCATGATAATTATTTTAACATTTTCCATTTCTGAAAATATCATTTTGTTCTTTAGATATGATTAGAACAAAATCGTACGAATAATTTTTGCCGTGTCTGTGTTTAGAAAATATTGAATAGGTATCTTACTAAGATAATGTCTGCTTTTATCATGTGAAAAAATAACAAGAAAATTTTCTCGAATGCAATGTAACACAGGGTGTGGGTATCAATTTTTGTAGCGAAGAGAATACTCATACCCGACAATCTTAGATAGTTTTAATATTTGCAAATATTTTCCAACAGTTAGTTATATTTCCAATCGAATTACATACCAATCGATAGGGCTCAACTTGCTCTAGAAAACTATATACGATGCATTTCTCCTCAATTCGAATATAGAAGCGAGAAAAAGCATATACAGTGCTTTTTCAAATGGAAACGGGGAGGGATGTGGCAATGTGAGTATGGATAGGGCATTTTTGTGGATTTGAGTATGAGTGTGTTGAGTTTGGACATGTTGTTCTTATTTCAACTGCCACCGGTATAAAAATCTACCCGCATCTACATCCTAGCACTGGCAAGCAGATTCCGACGCCTATACTCTTTTCTACAAGAACTATCCACTTTATATCATTCAACTGTTCGTTCATGGAACATATGCATAGATGGAAAAATATGGAAACAAATCATTTATAACTATTGAACCGATATTGAAAAGATGCCGATTACAAAATGCACTTTGGTGATCTTCAACAATATAATTATGAAAAATAACCATATCTGCAGGATTTCTTTAGAATATTTTGAAACACCTAAGGTTTTGAGGGAACAAAAGTACGATACTGATTGTCACAGATTGTAGACTATGCGACATTTTACTTAAAACAAAAGCATTTGAGAACCATATTTTCAAAAGCTTAAACATTTTAGCTCAACAATAAGCAGAAATCTGCTTACATGAACACTAGAAAAACAACTTCAGTTTCATTGCTTGACCATTCATCGACGTCCGAGCTAATATGAACGTATCTTGACATGAAAGTTGCAATGAACGAAGTCGTTCGAACGATCAAACCAATTTTTTTAAGATTTCTACTTAATCCTTCTTCACAAGTTCGTAGAAAAAAATAGTATGGATAAGAAAATTTCAATTATGTACATAACCATATGCAATACATTCATTTGAAACTTTTCTCAAGCAGCAGTAGACAACAAAGATAATTCAAATTATTCTCTATCGCGATGACAAGTATGATTTCTTGTCCTGCTTTTACATGTAGAACCAATCAAACAATGAAAAGAAACGTATGATTTATTGACTGATCGTGATTGCATCAAGAAGTCATACAGAATAAACTAAATACTGAGCGTGAATGTAAACGCATATTGAGCTCGTGTTTCAATTTATCAATACATATTTTCATGACACTCGTAAGTGTTTGAAGTACAGATTGAGGAGATAAAAAGATGAAAGACGGAGGAGGAAAACAGTATTGCAAAACAATTTTAAACAAAGTCATCTGTAGCGTAGTCATTTCAAAAGGAGCGAAACTTTCCGTAGACACCACTGATGGATCAGATTTCAACGATCTGCACATAGTTCTTTAATATTCTGGTTAAATGTCAGTATTTGCATTGATTATTACATTCAATCAATAGAATATATAAGACTAAGATGCCGCAAGCTACATTTTTTCCTGTATTTCGAATATCTATGTCGTGAATCGTTAAAATACTGTTTGTACAAAGTTCGATTATTGATAATTGAGTAATGAAAGAGTAACAAAACAACTTTATTTGAAATAACTTGACAAACATGTTCTAAAATATTGTATATCTCCTATATTTCTTATACATGGGTTTAATTATATATCTCAGAAATCCGTAAAAGTCACCTAATCTTCTTATTAACTCGAATGAGGTGAGTTGGATTATGTTTATGATTAAAACAGAATTTTGTCCAATCTAGTAGCTTTTAATTAATAAGAATACTGTTACTTCTTCAATGTTATGTTCGTACGGATAATCATATTTGACACTAGTAATCTAAAGAAGAGATACGAGACTCACTAAACTTTTTCTTCTATCTTTTCCTCTGCCCGTGCTCTACACTAGTAATGCTAGTCAAAATGCAAAATAATTTTCACGTTGTTTTCTTTTCATTTCCCCTCTTGTCAAAAAACAATCTTCTGTTTTAATGGAAAATAGTTTCAAAAAGTCTTTCTAGTTGCAGACATTTTCTTAACTGGCAATAACTCTCGTGGATGAAAATGGGACCGATTGAGATAGTGTCAACACGTGAACGGTTGCACTACTATGTATATGAAATATTTGAGTAACAAATGGATAAAATCCGATTGAAATTTTCTGCATAAAATGCATACATAGTTGCGTCTGATATAGATTCTAACATTGCATATAGTTGAAAGTAAAAATCTTCAATTCGCTAATTAATTAATTTCAATGTTTCAAAGCAACACTTATGAAAATATTTCTCTGTTATTCATCATTTTTAAGTCGTATTGTGTATCGCTTATACAAGAAAGACGAGTGATTCATGTGTTCTTCTAAATTGAATCTTGGAGAGTATAGACTATTTGTGACACAAGCTATTTTCAAGAATTCTAGCTTTCTACTTTAATGAATGCAGGGATGACTAGTTATATGTGTTCGGTCAATTTTTATGGCTATAGGCAATGCTTCAATCGCTTGAACTGGTAAAAAAGTTAACAAAATCTCATAATATTTTCCAACATTAAAAAGAAAGCTGTCGCATTATCTATGACATATTATACTATTGTCAACCTGCTTTACGGTATAATATGAGCGCATTATTTTTTTTATATAAAGTATAACCATGAAATCCTTTTTTTAATTATTGGGCCTGCAAAGTATGTTCGTTGATATAAAAATGAAATGATGCATTTTTCTTTTCTTACTAAAGACAACCAACAACATTCGATAATTACTCTTGTTTTTCTTTAAAAACACTTAAGTCATTGTGTATAAAGTCCCGCTGTTTTAGTATCACTCGAACAGCGATCATGTCAACCACTACAGTCAATAGTGAGATTCTTGCTCTTCAATTGGCTTCTCAAATGATCTATTCATATGGAGGACTAATTCTAATTGCTTTTGGCACAATTGGTAATTTATTGAATATCTTCATGTTTATTCGTCTTAAAACACTTCGACGAATGCCAAACTCAACTTTTCTGATCACTTACTTTGTCGCGAGTCTGGTACAATTGTGGACGGCTCGTTTTTCGCGTTCCATACTCAGTCTTACTGGTATTGATTTATTAATTGTTTCAGAATTCTATTGCAAATGTCGCTGGGTGCTCGGACGCATGAGTGCAAGCATTATTATGACATGCATCTGTTTGGCGAGCATCGATCGTTTTCTCATCTCCTCACGCAATGTGGGCTATCGTCGTTTAATCACCGTACAGCGAGCTCGTCTCACAGTAGCCGTAGTTATTTTAATTAATTTAGTTACCTTCATTCCAGAAGCAATTTTCTATTCAGCACCATCATGCACGACTAGTGGACCTTTTGTATATAAACAGTTTGTCATGTATTTCGGTATTATCATAAGTAATGTTGTACCTCTTTGTGTTCTAACCGTATTTACTGTACTTACTTGGTGCAATCTTCTAAGTTCGAGACTTGGTCAGCGCAATCGACTTGAAACACAAGTCACTCGAATGATGCTTGCTGAGTTCGGAATGGTATGTTTTACCTCAATACCCAATATTGTTTTAAG